CTGGTGCAACGGTAGCCACCGACGGACATCCACGTGATTCTGGAAAAACAGATGCCACCGAAACACCGGAAACCGCAGAGACTGAAGAGGTTGAAGGTTCTGGAATCACAGACGTAAGCGGATCATCTAAGCCAACAACGGCCGAAGGAGTTCTGTCTTCCTTCGACCGAAGTGCCCACGAAGTCCACACCTGAGCGTTCAACAGATTCAGGAGCTAGCACTGAAACAACACCTCTCAGTCATCTTTCGACTAGTAGTGTAACCAGTAAAGCTACTACAGAGCTTCCCGAAAGACACCACAACAGCAGCTACTACTGTTTCCTCTGGAAGCACTTCAGAGGGTAGCTCTTCAACATCTACGAAACCCACCAAGGAATCCAAGGAAACAACTGAACATCCTAAGGATTCTGGAAACCAACGCCACCTCAGAACGTCCTGAAACAACTCCAAAGACAACTGATGTGGTAAGTAATCTAACAACAGTTAGACCTGAGGGTTCAGAACCTCTAGCATACCTGATCTTTCTAAAACTACTCAGGAAACGGTTGAATCCTCCTCCATTGCGTCCACAAAGACACCGACGGGTAGTACTGCTGAAGCTACAACTACTCTTGCCGGTAGCACTCCAGAACAGGGTTCCTCAACAACTGGTTTCCCCACACTGGTAACGTCTGAACAGCCGGGAGATTCAGGTGCCTCTGCCTCAACCACTCCTCTTTCCACAATTGACATTACCAGTAAGCCAACGACTCAGCAAAGGGAAGCGTCGACAGGTGACCAGGCCAAGTCTACGTCTCCTACTTCTGCAACCGACGTTACCACTAAGCCAGTAATTGAGCACAGGGAAGCTTCGCCGAAAGCCACAACGGCGACCCAGTCCCCAACAACTGCACCACCCTCATTATCAACAACCGAACAACCAAAAGGAACGGGATCCACATCTACCTCTGATCGCCCTGAGACTCCACCAAAACCAACTGCAGTGGCAAGCAACCTCACCAAGGTCATCCCAGAGGATTCAGGAATTTCTACCGTTCCTGATCTTTCTAAAACCACACTAGAAGCTGCTTCATCTTCCCCAACCGCTACACCTACAACAGGGCTTACAGGAGCTTCTCAAGCCGCAACAACGGCAGGCTTTTTGGGAGCGACAAACGAAGCACTATCTTCTACTACAGAACTGCCTAGAAACGTATCATCAGAGACGGTAGAGGTAGGAGGCCCAAAAGCCACGACTACAACAGGCACCTCAGAACCGGCAAAGGAAGGTATTTCCTCTACAACAGAGCTCCCTAGAAAGGTATCAACTGGGACTGGGGAAGTTGAAGGTTCAAAAGCCACAAC